GTGGATATAGATAAGATTATTCTAAAATACACATGGAAAGGCAAAGAAACTAAAATAGCTAAACCAATTCTGAAAAATAATAAAATAGGGAAAACCATGCTATCCTATTTCAAGTCTTATTATATAGTTATAATAATCAAGATTATATAGTATTGTCAGAGGAATAGACATAGATCAATAAAAACAGAATACAGAGCCAAAAATATACTTACAAAAGTACATCTAACTGACTTTTTACAAAGCGCAAAAGTAACTGAAGAGAGAAAAGATAGTCTTTTCTACAAATAGTGCTGGGGTGACCCAAACCTCACATCTTACATAAAACTTAACTCAAGATTTATCATAGATTTAAATATGAAATATAAAACTGGAAGAAAACGTAGGAGAAAATCTTCAGGACCTATGGTTTGGTGAGGAGCTCATAGATATGACACCAAAAGCATAATCCATAAAGATAACTCAGTCAACTGGACTTCAACAAAATTGAACGCTGTGTCTCTACGAAAGCCCCTGTGAAGAGGTTGAAAAGACAAGCTAGAAATCAGGAGAAAATATTTATAAACAACATATCTGATAAGCAACTAAAACCTAGAATTCATAAAGAACTCTTGAAATTCAAGAGTGAAAAAAAAACACAAACAATCCAATTTTAAAATGGGAAAAATACACAAACAGACATGTTACCAAAGAGGATATATTGATGGCAAATTAGAGCATGAAAAGATATTGAGCTATTAGGAAAATGCAACTTGAGACCCCAATGAGATAATACTGCATACCCATCAGAATAGCTAAAATGATAAACAGTGACAATATCAAATGCTGGCAAGCATGGAGAGAAACTGGATCTCTCATGCCTTACTGGACTTGTAAAACGGTATACTCTAGAAAACAGTTTGGGCTGGGGATGGTGGCTCATGTCTATAATCCCAGCATTTTGGGAGGCCAAGGTGGGTTGATCACCTCAGGCCAGGAGGTCAAGACCAGCCTCGCCAACATAGTGAAACCCCATTTCTACTAAAAATACAAAAATTAGCTGGGCTTGGTGGCAGGCCCCTGTAATCCCAGCTACTTGGGAGGGTGAGACAGGAGAATCACTTGCACCTGGGAGGCGGAGGTTGCAGTGAGCCAAGACTACACCATTGCACGCCAACCTGGGCAACAGAACAAGATTCCATCTAAAAAAAAAAAGGAAACAGTTTTGCAGTCTCTTTTAAAACTAAACATGCAATTACTGTACAATCTACCAATCATATTCCTGGCATTTATCCCAAAGAAACAAAAACTTACGTCCACACAAGTACCTGTGTACAATTGCTGATTGAAGCTTTATTAATAACAACCAAACCTAGAAACAATCAAAATGTCCTACAAATGGTGAATGGTTAAACAAACCACAGTATATTCATTCAATGGAATACTACTCAGCAAAGAAGAGGAATAATCTATGGTACTGATACACAGAACAACGTGGATGGATCTCAAGTGCATTATGCTGACTGTAAAAAAGCCAGTATCAAAAGGTTATATATTATATGCATCCTTTAGTGTAAGATTCTTAAAATGACAAAATTACAGAAATGGAGAGCTGATACACAGTTGTCAGAGTTTAGGGATGGCAGAGGGGAGGGAATGGGTGTGACTATGAAGGAACAGCAAAAGGGAGATCTTTGTGTTGACGGAATAATTTTGTATCTTGATTGCAGTCTACAAGTGATAAAGTGACAGTACGACACACACACAAACATACACACACACTTTATACCAATGTCAATTTCCTGGAGTTGCTATTGTACTAGAGTTATATAATATGTAATCAATGGGGACAACTGGGTGAAGGGTACATAAGGCTTCTCTGTACTATTTTTGCAACTTCCTGCAACCATAATTATCTTAAAAGCTAGAAAAAAAGTATTAACTTAAGATCCTCATGTATTGCTTTTTCAAATTATGCTCATTTTTGTTTAAATTTCATTTTTAAATATCTCCAATAGAACAATAATCTTTTCTGCTAATGAACTGTAACTCTGATGTTTTATCCATGAACATTGAAGGGCATACTTTATAGTGAACAGCTCCTCAACCACATGACATTTCCAAACTGGAAGGTACTATAATCTCAGGACTCTAAAATAAAGCTGCTCAAAGATAACCAGTATTCAACTGAAAACAGGAGAGCAGGCTGAGCATGGTGGCTCACACCTGTCATCCCAGCACTCTGGGAGGCCGAGGTAGGAGGACTGCTTGAGTTCAAGAATTTAAGACCAGCCTGGGCAACACAATGACACTCATCTCTACAAGAAATAAAAATAAAGATGCCAGGCATGGTAGCGCACACCTGTGGTCCCAGCTACCCGGGAGTCTGAGGTGGGAGGATCGCTTGAGCTCAGAAGGGCTGTGTGAGCTGTGACTGAATCACTGCACTCCAGCCTGGGTAACAAAGTGAGACCCTGTCTCAAAAACCAACAAACAATCAATTCCACAAGGACAAAGGCAGCTTCAGAATGTTCGTATAGAGAGACACTAGAATGTCTTTCAGACCTTATGAAAGATCCATCCATAAAGACCTTATGATGGGATCCATCGCAAGGAAGTGGATGTCATAACCTACCACTTTGCCTGGCACATATTAGGAAACACTCAGTAAACACTGCAAAGCAAATGAATGAATGACCTGAGGGCTGCCTTATTGTTGCTCACTGAAACAAGAAATGTAGGTTTACAGATCCCTTGCCATAATTCTGATCTATATTTTGAATACTTTTCTGCAATAAATCTGTACTTGGAAAGAAAAAAAGAAAATTTATATAGATGATATTTGTCCAAAAGTAGAGAGTGAGGTAGTAATCAAATACACAGCATCCGTGTTACTAGGTTTTATAACAACTTATTTTAATCTGTCTCCGTTATTTCCTAAATCCTCTCCCCAGCATCTGTTTATAAACTGCTCATGTCATAGATTATCCCTGTTCTATCAACAAAGACTCTGTGCCTATGCTGGAGGCTACTCTTCCTATTTTTTCTTCCAACTTTTACCCTTACCCCTCCTCAAATCCCTACCACATGCACTGAGAGAGAGAGAGGTTGTGAAAGAGAGAAAGAGAGAGAAAAAAAAATAGAGAGATGACTGCACTTTGTAAAATAGGAATTTGGACAAAGGCTTCATTTGGCACATAAATATTCAAACACAAGCATTTACCATAAAGTATATACAGAATACAGAAGACTCAAATACACAATACAGAAGACAAAACTGAGTTGTCACCCTTACTGAATTCGCCTTCAGCCACAGGACTTGAGAACTGTTTACCAAATTTGTAGATTCTATTAAGGCTCCAAGTTGCTTGGGGATGCAGTGAAGAGGAGGGTAGAGATCTGTTTTGTCATTTGTTAGGAACTGAGAGGGGGAGGAAACTGAACTTGATAGTAACTTTTACACTGATAATGTTATTAAATGCTTGTAACTATAAGGTAGACATAATCTACACTGGATAAGTAGGAAAACTGCAGCTCTAACGCTCAAGAGGTAGAGCCAGATTCAAACCCAGACTTCCTTACTTCAAGTATTCTAAATCCTACGATCTTTCCATCACATCCTGCTTCTATAAGTCCAACCTTTGGGATTACAGCTACTCCTTTTCTCTAAAATAATTTTTTTTGTAAAAATAATTTCTTCTTAGAACACTAATAAGGTAATCAGAGACCTGTTGGTAGAGGAAGGAGCCTGAGGTTACAGTTGATACAACTGCCCTTTACCCACTGTATTGTCTTGAAGTCAGGTTGTCCTCTGTCTGACCATGTTACTTTTTGAATGTAGTTGACTTCTAAGCTATTCTAAGAACAAAAAACACTGAGACTCCAAGAGGGCTTCTGTGGCAAATACAAACACTTAAATCAGAGCTATTAACAACATTGTCCAAAATGTACTTTCCAGAGGAAACTCTGCTTACTTAGTTCTATCTAGCAACGTTAAACCATTTCCAATTGCTTCCATTTTCCATTTTGCTAAAATTACCTTTAGCACGATCAGCTCTTCTCTGCAAAATGTAATTAAACATTACCCTCTCTGTTGGTTCTTTTCTGGCCCTGTCACAAACTTCACCAATTACTTTCCACCAGAGGCCATGGTCTTTCGTGGCTTGATTGCTCCCACCCTAGTTTTCCCCCCGAGGGCTTTCTCCTCCCGGCTCTGGAGGTCTACGTGTGAACCTGCGAGGAACACAGACCCGTAACGGAACGGCCCGCGCCCGGCGCTCTGAAAGGCCGCTTCAGCGCAGTGGGAATTTAAAGACTCACATCGCGGGCGCGCTACGGGACGTTCGCCCCCGAGACGCCAAACGCTCTGACCGGAGCTCCGCGGACAGTTAAACACACAGGCGCCCCCGTTCTCACTCCCCGTCTCTTCCAGCTGGGCGCCCGTCTGCCAGCCCAGGGCTCCTGCAGGCGCGCGCCTTGGGTGGCCCCAGGGCCCGGGGAGAGGCTGGCGGGAGAGAGAGGACGGAGGACTCCGGGGAGCCCCGCGAAGCCCCGCGGGGAGCCCATCGACGAGGCCGCGCCTGAAGGCGGGGCGGGCCCTGCGCCGCCTCCACCTCTGGGCCCGCCCTGCGCCACACCCGACCCCGCCTGCTCTCGGCTAACGGGCAGCGGCACCCGCCTCCGCCCGCCAGCCCTCACCTCGCCCCGACGGCGGCCTTCGGAAGTCGGCGCCCGCCCGCTACCCGCCGCCTCCTCAGCAACCTCAGCCGACCGGGCGGACCCGGCCCAGGTCACCGGCGGCCCAGGCGCAGGTAGGCGACGGTGCGCGTGCGCGAGCCTTGAGTCCCCATTGGCTGCTGCTAGGCGACGCCCGCACCCAAACTGACCAATCCCGGCGCGCCTCCACGGCCCGGTCCTGGCCGCGGCGCGAACGTACTGGTTCTCCAAGGGCTGCGACCCCGACGGGGACGGGGCGTGGCCGCGGCGCGCGCCTCCCCGCTTTCCTGCGGCCTCCCGGCTCTCACCGCGGCGGTCTGAGGTCCAAGCCGGTGACTCTCACGTCCCGGGGCGAGAGGAGGCTTCGTGGTCTGAGCTCGATTCCTGCCGGCGTAGTGACCGGACTGACGTCGGGAGGCGGGGAGGTTCCGCGTGACAGAGCGACACGCCCGGGGCCTGGGTTCGCGGTCCGCGCGGCTGGGCGGGAGGCCCGAGACGGGCAAACCGAGGAGCACGACCTGCTGCCAGCCTGGACGGGGCGCCAAAGTCCGACCGGGGGGACACGCCCTAGGCTGGGGCGGAGGCACCCAGAGATAGAGGACCGGCTGCAAGGACAGGAGGCGGCCGAGTCCGTCCGCTTCTTCCTTTGGCAAGGCTTGAGCGCCTGCTGTGTGCCAAGGGTTGTGGAAAAGCCGTGTTAGGAGACGAGGGGAGGGGGGAGCACCCTTCCAACAACCAGACACCTGTATAAATACAAACTGCTCTTCAAGGAGGAGCAGGGGTTTGGGGGGAATTTACAGACGCTTCTGGGCTGGTGTGGGAATCACAGGAGGCCGACCAGGCAGAGGGGAGAGACCAGCATGTATATGAGAACCCTGTGGAAGGCAGCAAAGCTCCTTGGAGGAATGAAAAGAAGCCCAGAGAGGGGGGAGTGCAGAGTCAGTGCTTAATAGGTACGGAATTTCAGCTGGAAAAGATAGAAACAGTTCTGGAATGGAGAGTAGTGATGATCACACAACGTGAGTGTACCAAATGCCACAGATCTGCACACTTAAAAAATGGCTGTGAACATTCTACCGCAAAAAGAAAAGACACTCAGAGCTTAGAGAGTAAAGGAGTGGAGTGAGATCCACTAGAGCGAACAGAAGGGGCCGGACCATGTAGGGTCTTATGGCCATAGTGGCAAGTTTAGGACCATGCAACACTGATCACAGTTGCATTTTACAAACCCACTTTGGCTGCTAAAGTACATATCAAAATGGAGAAGTCTCAACAAAGCTATGGTGGGACTGGCCTGGGAGCTGGTGCAGTCATCTGGGCAAGAGAGAATGGAACTGGAGTGTGGACTGGGGTGAGAGTAAAGAGAAAGAGATCTAAGCAGGCTGCAGAGAAATGCAGGAGCAACATCAACAGGACTTGTGACGAGCTGCATGTGAAGGGGCAGTGAAGAAGCTTCAAGCATGATGCCCCTGTTCAGTCGAATGAATGGATGGCTGGTGGAGGAATGCACAGATATGGAGAACACTGGAAGAGGAGAGAAGATTGATCGTGAGCTCCAGCTTTGCCAAGTTGAATTTGAGGCACCTTTGAGACTTTTGGTTAGGATGTTGCAATGATTTGTTTTAGGTGTCAACATGACTAGATTAAGGGATACTCAGATCGCTGGGGAAACATTATTTCTGGGTAAGTCTATGAGTGTGTTCCCAGAAGATATTGGCATTTGAATCAATGAACTGAGCAAGGAAGATCTGTCCTTATCCCATATGGGCAGATAGAACAAAAAGGCAGAGGAAAGGCAAATTCTCTCTTCTGGAGCTGGGACACCCCTCTTCTGCCCTTGGCATCAGAACTCCAGGTTCCCTGAATCTCTAAACTCCAGGAGATTAGGTAGTGGAGTTCGTCCATTTATTCATTTAGCAAGTATTGAGCCTTTGGACTCAAGACTTGTATCAGTGGCTCCCCAGGTCTTCTTCAGTGGCTTCTGTCTTCTCAGAATGTGCTTCTTGGCTGTAAGTGCCACTGGACAAAATCTCACAACCACACAGATCAGTGTTACACACATTGTCAACCTCAATTAGGACCTCAGTACCTTTCAGCAGTCCTATTTGCCAAGGCAGCTCTCTCTCCAGCTCTTCCCCCAAAATCAACTTCCAAATATCCAGCATGCTCCCCAGATCTCCTATTCTTCAACCGCCTCCCTGGCCCGCACCCTGCTTTCTCCAGAACCTCCTTCACTGAAGGAAAAGCAGCCATCTAGGTGACATCCCTCAGCTCCTGACAACTTCTCTCCCTCCAGCTACCGCCTTCTTTCCCCTCTCCCCTTTACAACCAAACCTCATGGAAAAAGTGGTCCATATTTCAACACTCCATTGCTTCACCTTCACCTTTCATCATTTCTCAGTCCCCAGCAGTTCTGATATCTGCTTCACCACATCACTGAACATGCCCTCATCAAAGGCATCAAAGACCTAGTCTTTATCTTCCTGGTTCCTTTTTTTTTTTTTTTTAGACAGAGTCTTGCTCTGTTACCCAGGCTGGCAATGGCGCCGAGGCTTACTGCAACCTCTGCCTCTTGGGTTCAAGTGATCCTCCAGCTTCAGCCTCCTATGCCACCACACCTAGCTAATTTTTGTATTTTTAGTAGAGACAGGGTTTCATCATGTTAGCCAGGCTGGTCTCAAACTCCTGACCTCAAGTGATCTGCCTCAGCCTCCCAAAGTGCTGGGATTACAGGCATGAGCCACTGCACCCGGCCCTTCCTTGACCTTTCAACAGCATTTGTCATTGCTGTCCTGTCTGTCCTTTTCAGTCACTGTTTAAAAAAAAAATTGGCATAACCCCCACCTCCTGGTTTTCTTCTTCCTATATCTCTAGCCTCTTTCTCTCCTTAGTCTCCATTGCAGCTTCTTTTCCTCTGCCATAAGAGAAACTATCACATTCTCCTTAGGCGGTCTTATCCACTACATAGTTCCAGTCAGGTTCTACAAGTGTTTTCTCAAAGCTGTATCTCCTGCCTAGCCCTTGTCCCTGAGTTTCAGCCCCAAACAGCCACAAACCTGAACATCATTTGACATCACCTCCTCACACTGTACATTTCCACAACTGAATTTATCACCATTTTCAGTCCAGCATCTCCCCACTGTTCCCTGCCTCCATAATGTAAGGAACCAGCCCCCACACCCCACCCGTGGGTACCCCGAGTTCGGTAGCGACAGGGGAATGAGAGAAAGATTAGAAATGAAAGTGGGACCAAGGGACCATCACTTGTAATGGAGGCAGTGAAGTCTCCGAGCTTAGGTTCCCCACAGCATTTATTGGTTACAGTCACTTTGAGCAGTCAGCAGATGGTGGGGTGAAGGTGAGGTGATGGTGGGGAGGGGGTGGTGCGATGGTGGAGCATTCTTCGGTGAACTGGAGCTGGCGGGTCATTCTGAAGATTGCTAGCAGTGGCGGCTTTGTGAGTTTCTTTGAAAAGCAGAACATGTGGTTATTATCTACAGATTGCATTCTAGGCACAGCTGGAGGAAGTGAGTCTCACAAGGAGCCTACAAGTCTGGTTACTTTGTGATGCTACAAAAGGGGTTTTAAGTCCTTGAGCATCTTGTGCATTGTAACAGAGTCAAGGTCGCTCTGCAGCTGGAACTTGAAGGCTTAATTTGCCTCCCCAGAGGCCTGACGCGGTTTGCCAAAATTAATTGTTGAAATCTTGAAGCCAACTTATGTGGCACTCTGTAAGCCCTCCCTCCATTGCTGCTTCCCCAAGCACATAAGTGGTATCACCAGTTTCTCAGTTGCTTAAGCCAGAACCCCAGAAGGCATCCCTAATTTCCCTTTTCTTTCCCTCCCCACTCAATCACTAACACCTGCCAAGTCTACTTCTAATGTCTTTCAAATGCACACGTTTTCTCATTGCTCCCACTGTCTCTGGCCTGCATGCTTGTAGCAGCCTTGTCACTGTTCTTTTTGTTTTTCATCTGGCCGTCTTCCCTAACTTTCACCATGTTACAGCCAATAAAATTCTGAATGCATCTCAGGCTTCATCATTCTTCTCCCTAAAACCATCCATGGCTCCCATTGCTCCTAGGAGAGTCCAGAATCTGGACACCTGTGTCCTGCTTAAACTCCACCTTGCGTTTATATTGCATTTATAAACTTTTTCTTCTGGAGGGCTTTCCCTGTATGCCGGAACAGTTTGGTCCCCTATACCTGCCTCACCCTACACCATCTCATTATTTTTTCACCTGATAGAAATTTTAATGATGTTTAAAAAAATCAAATCCTTATATAAACTTCACTCAAAATCTTCGCTTTAGGCCAGCCTCAGTGGCTCACACCAGTAGTCTCAGCACTTTGGGAGCCCAAGGCAGGTGGATCACCTGAGGTCAGGAGTTCAAGACTAGCTTGACCAACATGATGAAACCCCATCTCTACTAAAAACACAAAATTAGCTGACCGTGGTGGTGCATGCCTGTAATCCCAGCTACTTGGGAGGCTGACGCAGGAGAATTGCTTGAACCCGGGAGATGGAGGCTGCAGTGAGCTGAGACTGCACCATTGCACTCCAGTCTGGGCAACAAGAATGGAACTCTATCTCAAAAAAAAAAAAAAAAATTGCCTAAACCCAGGAGGCGGAGGTTGCAGTGAGCCGAGATCTCGCCATTGCACTCCAGCCTGGGTAACAAGAGCGAAACTCCGTCCCCAAAAAAAAAAAAAAAAAGGCAACAACAACAACAACGCAAAACCCTTCACTTCATTCCTCAAACATGTATGTCACAGTTCCCACCATTTCAGAGCCATAAACATAAAGTCCAGAGATGAAATACTTAAAAACAATAGCCAGGACAGATCTTTGTGTGTCTATATACATACCATATGTAGCATTATGTTATATAGTATTACCTAAGTTACATGAAATTTTGCATAAGATTTGTAAGCAAGTCACTTAAACTTTATGAACAAAAAGATGGGCCTGGCATGGTGGCTCATGCCCATAGTCCCAGGCAAGCTTTCAGAGGCAGGAGGATTGTTGTCTGGGCCATCTGATGTTACTGTCATTCCTCACTTGCCTAAACAGAAATAGGGCTGAGTGGAACTAAGCAAGACCTGCATCCCATCAAAAAGCTCCTGATGGTTTTTTATCTGCCCACTCTGTTTCTCCCAAGATCTCCCTCCTAAATGAAGTGGCCGCTGTTCACTTCATGGAAAACGAATCTTGGTACCACATCCACCACGGATGGCTAGAGAGCAGAGAGCGCAGGAGCATTACCGCCGAGCATTCCACTCCATCAGATCAGCAGGGGCATTAGATTCGCACAGGAGACCCTCTTGTGCACGCACTTCGCAGAGCTCTAGGTTACCTGCTCCTAATAAGAATCTAATGCCTGCAGATGTGAAGTAAAACACTTTCGTACCAAAACCATCCCCACCCCCGTGGAAGACAATTTGTGTCTTCCACGAAACCGGTTCCTGGTGCCAAAAAGGCTAGGGACCGCTTGTCTAGAAAACTACAACCAGCTCTGTTGTAGCGGTCACCAGGAGTAACCGTGTGGCGAGGGTGTGTCCAGCTTCCTCGCATCTTGAAGCAAACCACTTTAGCAATATGTGCGAGGGTTGTTAAGGGTGGGAGTTCTCTCTCTCTCTTTTTTTTTTTAAGATGGGGTTTCACCATGTTGGTCAGGCTGGTCTTGAACTCCCTACCTCAGGTGATCCGCCCACCTTGGCCTCCGAAGTGCTTGGATTACAGACGTGAGCCACCGCGCCCGGCCAAGGGTTGGAGTTCTAAAGCCAGACTGCCGGTATCCAGAGGCTGGCTTTGCTACGGGACCTTAGACAAGTTACTTAACCTGTTTCCTCATCTGTAAAATGGAGAAAACGCCTGTGCTTTTTAGGGTTGTCAACCTAATAAGCATTATTACTGCCCCAGATAGTCTAGGCTATGTGGGAAAACGCGAATTTCTCCTGCAGGTTTGGCCTGGCAGGAGACTTGCTCCAGACGCAGGCCCGGAGGCACCAGAGTGAGGTCGAGAGGGCAGCGGATCTGAAGCCATGTATCTGGGATCCAGACATGCTGAGTGACGCCGAGCAAGCTGCTCCTGCAGATAAATTCAGCATTAACGGCCTGATACTGGAGGTGCTGACGCCGGGTACATCAGTCTACCGATGCACGTTTAGCTCCCCAGACTGCGCAAAAAGGATGCGCACACCGCCCCGGCGTTCTGGGGGCGGGGCCCGAGGAAGGCTCAGAGTATCGCTCTTGCGCGTCCAATTACAAATGCCGTCCCTTCTGTTCCCCGCCCTGTAGGCGGGAGCACCCAATCAATGTCGAGAGCATAGGCCCCCCCCCCCTCGCTCCCACCAATCATGGGTCCCCGCGCCGGACGCATGTGTCTGAAGTGCTGATTGGCTCCGGTGGAGAAGCTTGGCGGTCGGTGGTTCCGGAGCCTCCTCGGGATGTCGGTGGCCTTCGTACCCGACTGGCTGAGGGGCAAGGCGGAAGTCAATCAAGAGACGATCCAGCGGGTGAGCATCCGCGCGGGCGTCGGGAAGGAGCTGGGAGCCCGAGGGGCTGTGGCGTGCGAGAAGCATCCCGTAGTGAGCGGCCCCAGCCGAGACCCGCAGTCTGTGAAGGGAGCCGACCCACCGGGGTGCGCAGGGAGACGGGCAGGGCAGCCCGGCGTGGGGTCGGTCCCCCGCGGTCCTGACGTCTCACCGCCCTTCTTCGCTGGCCTTGCAGCTCCTTGAGGAGAATGACCAGCTGATCCGCTGTATTGTGGAGTATCAGAACAAGGGCCGGGCGAACGAGTGCGTCCAGTAAGTGTCCCCGCCTCGGTGCCCCGACCCGCGGGGGAGGGGAAGCCTGTGCGGCGCGGCGCGGGCTCGAGCTAGGAGCCCGGGGCGACTGATCGCAGTGGAGCGCTCTTTCGCTTGAGGAGAGGGAGGCTCAGAGAGTTTGCCAACACAGCGAGTACACCGTGGGGCCTGGAGTCAGACGTGGCTCCTTCTTCAAAACGTGAGTCATTCTCACCGCCAAGCCTCGTTCGCTCAGAGCTATCACAGGGATGGGACTGGGAGCACACGGAAAACGAGGCTCAGGAGAGCACAGCCACGGCCCCTTTCTCATCTTAGATCCTGCCTCATCCTTTTTGTTAAGTGAAGGGGTCAGCCCATTTGCTAAGCTCCCTCACATTTCTAACTTGCTGTCAGTCTGTTAGTGACACACACAAAGACAGACAAAGAATTTCCAAGTTAAGCCAAAGGTGTATTCTGCATAATAATTCAGTGCACTCCATAAGCAGATACCAACAGGAGAGGAAATAGAGTCTGAGTTTCTTTTCCAAATCTATCTAGTCCAGGAATTATGCCCATTTCTTTCTTTCCTTTTTGGGGCAGAGACTCCTTCTGTTGCCCAGGCTGGAATGATCTCGGCTCAAAGCAACCTCTGTCTGTCTCCCAGGTTCAAGCAATTCTCGTGCCTCAGCCTCCCGAGTAGCTGGGACTACAGGCGCCCACCACCATGCCCAGCTAATTTTTGTGTTTTTAGTAGAGATGGGGTTTCGCCGTGTTGGCCAGACTGATCTCAAACTCCTGACCTCAGGTGATCCCGCCTCGGCCTCCCAAAGTGCGGGGATTACAGGTGTGAGCCACCATGCCCAGCCTTATGCCCATTTCTTATAGAAAAATATATTATTTCATTGTTACTAAAGAAATGTTTCGCCGGGCGCAGTGGCTCAAGCCTGTAATCCCAGCACTGTGGGAGGCCAAGGCGGGTGGATCACGAGGTCAAGAGATCGAGACCATCCTGGTCAACATGGTGAAACCCCGTCTCTACTAAAAATACAAAAAATTAGCTGGGCATGGTGGCGCGTGCCTGTAATCCCAGCTACTCAGGAGGCTGGGGCAGGAGAATTGCCTGAACCCGGGAGGCGGAGGTTGCGGTGAGCCGAGATCGCGCCATTGCACTCCAGCCTGGGTAACAAGAGCGAAACTCCGTCTCAAAAAAAAAAAAAAAGAAATGTTTCACAATCCCTACCCCCTAGAAAAATTACCTACAGTCCCTCACTGAATAGCTCAATAGAACAGTAGAGATATCAATTTTGGGGTGAATTTTTACATCTGGCTCTTGCATTTGGTAATTTGATTTTTAAAAGTTTACAGTAAATACCTTCTCCTTTTTCTATATGAAAAATGGTTGCAAAACGTTTCATTTGGTACAGTCATTCCCAACCCAAGGGTAAAAAAGTTGTCAAAATCTCCTAGTGGGGTTTTTCACATTGCACAGACCATGCTTTCTGACCTCTTGTCTGATTTATCTTTCTGGGTGAAGAACTCTCTACCCTGTAAGCTTACGTTGGTCATGAAAATGTTTTGTCCCTTCTTGACGTTGTCAAGCAGCCATTTTATACGTACAGTTGGTCCTCTGTATCCATGGGTTCCGCATTGCATTTCAAAAATACTGGGGAACACAAAACAATAAAAAATAGCAATACAACAATAAAACACAACATAGTATAACATTATTTATATGGCATTTAAATTGTATTAGGTATTATAAGTAATCTAGAGATTATTTAAAGTATACGAGCCAGGTGTGGTGGCTCATGCCTGTAACCCCATGCCTTTGGGTGGCCGAGGCGGGCAGATCATCTGAGACCAGGAGTTCAAGAACAGCCTGGCCAACATAGCCAAACCCTGTCTCTACTAAAAATACAAAAATTAGCCAGGTGTGGTGGCACATGCCTGTAATCCCAGCTACTCAGGAGGCCAGCGCAGGAGAATTGCTTTAAACTTGGAGGCAGAGGTTGCAGTGAGCCAAGATGACACCACCACATTCAAGCCTGGGAGACAGAGCAAGAATCCCTCTCAATCAATCAATCAATATAAAAAATGAAGTATATGATAAGGAAGATGTGTGTAAGTTATATACAAATACTATGCCATTTTACATAAGGGACTTGAGCCTGAGCATCCTTGGATTTCAGTATCTAAAGGGAGCAGGGAGGTGTCCTGGAGCCAATTCCCTGTGGATACCAAGGGATAACCATACTCCTGGTACCAGGCGCTGTTTCAGACACTGGGAAATCCATAGTAAAACAGATGCCAGCTCTGCACTCATGGAGCTGCCATTCTAGACTCTAGCATCTATAAGGAAATGTATCATTAGGCACATAATAATAGGCGCTTTGAATAAGGGTAAAGCAGAGTAAGTGGGGGGAGGAGTGCTATTTTATACATGATACGTCTCATAAGGTGATATCTGCGTAGAGACCTGAGGTAAGGGAGCCAGCTATGCAGTAGGAAGGCGGTGAGATAAGGCAGAGAAAGCATCAGAAGGAAACGCTCCCTAGTAGGGCTGTGCTGGATATTTTCAAGTCACAGCAAGGAGGCCACTGTGACCAGTATTCAGTGAACAAAGGTATAGCCATAAGAGAGGAGATCAGAGGGGAACTGGAGGCCCCAGTCATGTAGGGCCTTCTTAGGACACAGGAGTGGCTCACCTTTACTCTGAATCAGACGGGAGCCTTTGGAAGGTTTTAAATAGAGATGTAACATGATCTTGATTTAAATTGTACAACGCTCTCTCAGGCTGTCGTGCGGAGAATAAAGTAGGTGTGCGAAGGTGCATCAGGGAGACTAGGTGGCTACTGCAATAGTCCAAGCAAGAAATGATGGTGGCTTGGCTTAGAGAGGCAGCTGTGAAAGTGATCAGTGAAAAGGGGTGAGAATCTGACTAGATTTTCCTTAAATATGTCAGACCAGAAGGTGGATAACATGGAATCATCTGCTCAGTGGATGAGCCATTCCACTAGAGTGGGTAAATTATTTTCCAGTTTTTTGTTCATGGTCAAAAACAAGCTTCTGATTTTTGCCCATAGGTACCAGCATGTGTTACATAGAAATCTCATTTATTTGGCTACCATCGCAGATGCCAGCCCAACCAGTACTTCAAAAGCAATGGAATAGTCTTTCGAAAGCAATGGAATAATCTTCCAGTTGGCTGTCATGAGGAGTAATTAAGTGTAATCCATCTCTTACAAAACAGAGACAGGATCTTTACCAACTTAACTGGTTAAAACATGAATGAAACCTCCTTGGCTCTTTCAAAAAATGTGAAAATGTGAAGAAAGCTACTAACTTAACTGAATTCTCAATGTAAATTTTTTTTTCTTTTCATGGTAAGCTTACCGTTCAATTTTTTTTTTAAATAATTAAGCGAATCCCTCAATGAGTTGAGCCCAGGTGTCCTGTTTCCTGAGCTTGGAGCAAGTTTGGATAACAAAGACATCACTGGGATGTTTGAGTCTACTTTTTAGTTTCAACCTGAAGAGAAAACTGAGTAGGTATTGGGCAGGTATTGGTGAGACTCCTGACTTGAGACCTTGCTAAATGGACATGTAACTGTGTGCTCCTTCCTACCAGTCTGTAAATGTGGTCCCCCCACTGCTGTTTTCAGATTGTTTGAAATAAAGCTTACTTTTCTATAAAATACCGATACGGAGGTATAGAAGTTTTCATGTAATAAGTATTCCATTTGGTTTTCCAGAAAAGCTATGAGGACTTAACTATAAGATACGTAACAACAGCACTGATCATTGCCAACAAAATGAATAGTGATTCCTAATTACTACCTAATGCCATCTGATAATAGGTGGTGTTTAATTTCCTCAGTTATCAGATTATGTCTTTTTGTTGATTTGTCTGAAACAGAATCCAAACAAGATTCACACATTGTATTTTGTGGATGTCCCTTTAAGTCACTTAAAGAAGCTGGTAAGTACTTGCTTTTGCATCATGTAAGGAGTGACCTGATATTTTGTCAAGTTCCCAACAGCCTTTCACTTAAATTATGATCTACCCAGCTTTGATCGGGTAATTCATTAGGGATTGCATAATGAGGATTTTCCAATTTATTGTTCTTTCTGACTTTATTGGCTGTTTTCTATTAAAAACTTACACTCTTGGAGATTTATCTGAATGATGAGGCAAAGAGATTCTTGTAAGTATATCCAAAATTAGAAGCCCAGGTCCCTGCTCCTATTTTTGGAGTCAAGGGTTACAGCTAGGGTAACTGTAAAATACATATAAATAGTGAAAAGATAACTCTTTTTGAATCCCAGCTCTATCCCTTAACCTCCAAAAGCTCTGTTTCCTCACTTGTAAATTGAGGGTAATAAAAATAGCATTTGCCCCTTGAGGTTGGGGGGCTGAGGTAATGTGGTTGAAAACTGGGCACATGTTTATCTGTGTTAGCGCTGATGTGTCATCCAAGGTGAGGGCTCTGGCTCTTTTTTGTTTTGAGACGGAGTCTCTGTGGCCCAGACTGGAGTGCAGTGGTGCCATCTCAGCTCACTGCAACCTCCACCTCCCAAGTTCAAGTGATACTCCTGCCTCAGCCTGCCCAGTAGCTGGGACTACAGGCACGTGCCAGCATGCCTGGCTAATTTTTGTATTTTTAGTAGAGACGGGGCTTCATCGTGTTGGTCGGGCTGGTCTCGAACGCCTGACCTCGTGATCCACCCAGCTGGACCTCCCAAAGTGCTGGGATTACAGGCGTGAGCACTGAGCCCAGCTGGGAGCTTGTTTCTTTACTCCTCACCCAGTCTGCTACGCCACGGCTTTAGCCGGCTTGTCTTCTTCCTCCTCCACTGTTCGTGGGATTGATACCATGTTCTACACCAGCTGACACGAGTGGGCTGCTCATGGGCCTGATCTGGTCAGCAGATGTATTGGGGCTGTGCAGTGTTTTAAATGTGATTTAGTTGATAACTAAAATAAGAGGGGCTGGGCATGATGGCTCATGCCTGCAATCCCAACACTGTGGGAAGCTGAGGTGAGATGATCACTTGAACCCAGGAATTGAGATCAGCCTGGGCAACATAGGGAGACTCCACCTCTAGAAAAATAATAATTGTTTTGAAAAAAGAGGATTTCCTGTTAAAGTCTGGATTTCTAGTAAGGCTGGACTTGCAGACCCGCAGGGTAGCATCAGCAGGAGTGGGACAGCAGCTGTGCCCTTTGTGGGGAAGCTTGACTTGTTTACCTAGAGCCGGGCACACATAGACACTTGGATGAGGCCATCAGACCACCTCTGGCTAGAACCTGAGCAGGGGTGATGTTTCAATTTGGGTTTTTTCTAAAGCAGAGCCTGAGACAAGGCCTTGGGGGCAGGTAGTTTATCTGGGAGATGATTTCAGGAAGCAGGAGTAAGGCAGTAGAGAGAGTAAGATAGGGAGGAAAAGCTACTAAAGGGAGTTACTGAGGTCACTCCATTAAGCAATAGAGGCTCAGCTCTGTGGGAGAAGAACTGAGAAGCAGTGAGAACGTTCCAGAACTGTCTACCTGAGAGACACTGTTGGGAGTTGCCTCCAGGGGAGCTAGCTCCCCTGCACTAGCAAGCAGCGTCTGTAGCCGTGTGGGTCCCTAGATGGCAGAGAAGACAAGAAAGCGGAAAGGTGCCAAGGCAGACCCCCAGGTTGGCTGCCGCCCGCACAAGGTGATGTGTCCTTGTAGAAAGCGTTCCTACTGGCTGCAGCACATATCGGAAGCAGGCAGGGCAGGACAGTGGGGTGCTCTGTGACAGCACCAGAGACTCCTCTGCTGGGGAGTGTGGGCCCTGAGCAAGCCACTGGGGCCTGGCAGCTAGCAGCTTCCTGTGTGGGGGGGGCAGCAGCCTTGAAGACAAAGCCCAACTCTGCTCCAGTGGAAAGGGGGACGGTGACCTGCTGTGTTCCATTTGCCTTTTGTAATGATGTTTGAGTCTGCAGACAGAGGACTGAATCAGGGCAAATCAGAAGCCTCTGAGGACAGCAGAGTGGCTTGAGCCACAGCCTGCCCTTCACTCCAGAAGGCCCCTCCCTGGGGACACCTTGGCAAAGCTGGTGCGGGCCAGCTAGCCACCTGCATTCCAGCCCATCTCCAGCTGTTTGCTTCAGAGACAGCCAGAAGCACAAGCATTTGCCATCTCTCTTGAAGGACCCAGGAATCAATAGCATTGTGAAAGTTGATTTAAAAACAAAAAACCAAACAAACAGGCAGTGGCTCACGCCTGTAATCCCAGCACTTTGGGAGGCCAAGGCGAGCAAATCACCTGAGGTCAGGAGTTCGAGACCAGCCTGACCAACATGGAGAAACCCTGTCTCTAAAAAAAAAAATTAAACAAACAAACACCAAACACAAATAGAGTCTGTGACCAGACTCTTATCAGCCACTCTCCCTTCTCCGAGGACCTCCTGCTTCAAGAGTTGAGCCTCTACTCAGCCTATCTGAGCCCGTCTCTAACCTGTGGGGTCAAACCAATCTCCCAACAGCCCACACAGGGTCTGAGCCTGTTCTCTTGGGTTTCCAAGCCTATCTCTTAGGAGTTGCAAGAGTGGTGACTTCCTCCATTATCACTCCCGTGGGGTGAGGATATGGCAGCTACAACAAAGAGATCAGATGACTTGAGATCAGGTTGTATTCCACAAAATGTTAAGCCATTTTTCCACTTCCTCATGAGGGCTCTTGACATCTCAGTTTAACCTGTGGGGACTCCTAGTAACAATGTGGCTAGCGAGGAAATGATGCTTGGGGCTACCTCCTGTACCCTTGAACCTTACAATACACCTCCATTACTGAAGGTCATCTGAGTTTATTTCTTTTATCTTTTCTTTGTTTTTTCAGAAGGAGTCTCGCTCTGTCTCCAGGATGGAGCGTAATGATGTGATCTTGGCTCACTGTAACGTCCACCTTTCAGGTTCAAGCGATTCTCCTGTCTCAGCCTCCCAAGTAGCTGGGACTACAGGCATATGCCATCACGCCTGGCTAATTTTTGTATTTTTAGTAGAGATGAATTTTCACCATATTGGCCAGGCTGGTCTGGAACTCCTGACCTCAAGTGATCCACCTGCCTCGGCCTTCCAAAGTGCTGGGATTACAGGGATAAGCCACCATACCCAGCCAAAAAGTAAATGTATTTTTTAAAACAGAAGTGCTTTAAAGAGAATTGCAACAGGATGACATGCTGAGGAGCGTCTGTGTGACTACTTTAGATTACAGAGTAAGGGATGGCCTGAGGAGGGAACACTGCAGCTGAGATATGAACAAGGAACCTGACACATGACCATCAAGGGACCCAGCCATGCAGGCAGAGGCAAGAGCTAAGCAAATATCCTTCATTCCAACTGTTTTTTAATCTCTTGAGTCCATTTATAGAGCAATATTCACCTATGTGGTCATCAATTTAATTATAACGTGAGTCCTCATTTGACCAGGCCTGAGCTTGGCTCTACAGTGAGGAAAATGAGGGGGAGGGCACTGGGCCGTACTTTCAGGGAGCTCCTAAGCTCGGCAAGATAAAAAAAGACTCACGCCCTGGCACAGACCACGGCACCATGCAAGCCCAAGAAATGCCTGAGCCATCACCCAGACATGAGGCTGCAGGGATTCCACGTAGAAATTATCAAGAGCTTCCTGTAGGTCAGAAAACGTCTACGTTTCTCCATTCCTGAGCAGTCCCTTGTTTGCAAACAAAAAATGACTTGCCAGTTGTGGGAGAAGCTATCAGCATTCTACTCTCATTTCTTGAACTTCATTCCTCTAACTGTGCTCCAGCTGACTCCCAACTGTCCATATTGTAACTCTACTCCAAGGACATTTTTCTAAAACTGGAAGTCTGCTTTGCCCAGGTGTAGCAGGCGAGAAGAACCTAAGGATTATCACCCCTGGGAGCAACTCCCAACCAGGGACTCTCAAGAGACATCCTCAGGTGGGATAACCCGGAGCTGCGTCTTCTGTGTGTGCTCCCCGAGTTCTCCAGCAGGGCTAAGCTCCAATCAGCAGCTGCAGTAGCTGGTTAATATCACATTTGCACTGGTTACCGCCCTTTTTCCCTCCTCACTCCCTGAATGTAGTTTCTTGAGATCACTGCCTGTCTTAGTCCCTTGGCACTGCTATAATAAAATGCTGTCAGCCGAGCTTATAAACAACAGAACTCTTTCTCACAGCTCTGAAGGTTGGGACGTCCACGATCAGGGCCCCAGAAAATTTGGTGTCCTTGAGAGACAATTTCCTGGCTGACAGCCAGCCATCTTTTCATTGTAACCTCATGTGGCAGAGACGGCAAGGGGCCTCTTCTGGGTGTCTTATTTGTTGTTTCTGAGACAGAGCCTCCCTCTGTTGCCCAGGCTGGAGCACAGTGGTGCGATCCTAGCTCACTGTAACCTCAAACTCCTGGGCTGAAATGATCCTCCCCTCTTAGCCTCCCGGGTAGCCAGGACTATAGGCATATGCCACCATACCTGGCTAATTTTTTAATTTTTGGTAGAGATGAGGTCTCACTTTGCTGCCCAGGCTGGTCTTGAACTCCTGGCTTCAAGTGATCCTCTATCCTTGGCCCCCTCAAAGTGCTGGGGTTAAAGACGTGAACTGCCAGGCTTAGCCCCTGGGTCTCTTTTATAAGGGCACTAATCTCATTCAGATGGACCGGCTCGGCCAATGTGGCTTCCATCAGCA